TGTGATACTTTTTTCAGGATTCTTTGATGAATAAAAAGTTAAAAAGAAGAGCATTTATATTTTTTAGCATTTATAAGATTTATATTTTGAATAAATGGTGTTCTTTTAAACTTTTTATTCATCAAAGAATCCTGAAAAATATCGCAGTTTCCAAAAAATAAAAATATTTGGCAGCACAACTGTTGCCAACATTGATAATTTTCTAATAATAATTCAGCATATTAGAATGATTTCTTAAGGATCATGTGACACTTTATACTGGAGTAATGGCTGATGGAAATTCAGCTTTGCATCACAGAATAAATTATATTTTAAAGTATATTAAAATAGAACCATTATTTTATATTGTAATAACATTTTGCAAGATTACTTTTTTTCTGTATTTTTCATCAAATAAATGCAGTCTTGATGAGCATAAGAAACTTCTTTAAAAAACATTATAAGTCTTACTGATCCCAAACTTTTGACCAGTAGTGTATATATTTATATTAATACCAATTATATCATGTATAAATGTTTAATATATAAAAGTAACATATTTTTCTTAAATATATACATGCATGTGTGTTTCTTTATATATGCATAATAAATATACACAGTACACACGCATATTATGTAAACATTATTTAATCGTTTGACAGCACTAATATGAATATATATATATATACACACACACTGTGATAGTATCATGAATTTAACATAAATATTTGATGGAAATGCACTAAAACTGAAATAAAAATTAGTTATAAATAAAGTTTTTTTTTAAAAGGTAATAAAATGACTAAAACAACAACATTTCTAAAACTTATCTAAAAATATCTCAGTGATACTAAATACACTGGATGAAAATCACTGGATGAAATTCAGTGTTTTTTTTTTCTTGTAAAAAGTAAAACATGAACAAATGGTTTTCTTAATTTTAATTGGAAAATATTTTAATTGTACAGCATATTGAGAAATTGTCCTTGTAAGTGTCATAAGGCATAAGTGAATGAATCTGATTCTAAAAGTTTTTTGTTTACGTATTGTAAATTTAGTTTATTGCAGTGATGTTGATCAGTGTTATACACTGTTTTGTACTTATGGATTCATAATCATGTCAAAAACAAAGGCATTGAATCCACTTAAGTTGATTTTCCTTTTTCCTCATTACGCATATTTCTAAATTAAATGATTTGCATAATGGATAGATTTGGTCGGTGCTGCGTTACTCTACTGGCAGAATGTCTCTTACCGTGGAACATGACAGGATTCTTGTACGCCCGGCGGTTGGTTTCACTATATTATTCATAGGCAATAAACATTTCTCTGCCCTAGAGGTAGATTATGTTCTTTTGTCATAGCGTCAAGTTACACTTTAAATCTCCACTGCATTGGTTTATGCAAATGTAATAGTCCATAAAATTTCAGTTGAAGTGCTTGACTTGAAGATGTATCACGCCGTAACACCGAGGACATTAAGAGTATGTAATGGGATTTTAGCGCGTGACTCCGTGAATAATATTTTGACATCATAAAATGAAAACATGCCGTGACTTATATAGCTTAGCAATGTTCATTTGGCAGCAAAAGTCTCTAGAAATGATTGTACACAGTGCAATGTTGTTATTGTGCAGCCTCAGCATTCCTAGCATAAGACAATTGCATTCAGGAGAGGTATATAATCATGACATAGCTCTTTATTGCAGGCATTTTGACACGATTCCAGAGTTGGAATAACGTTTCGCTTAGGTCAGTAATCAGAGGTGCTGAAGTTATACGGCTGGCAGAAGAGACAGACATAAAAAAAACCCTGGAGAGTGGCGTAATAAGATTGCCTAGCACTCTCTTCTTTTTTTTCCTTAGAGGTCAAGCTAACCTTTAAAACTGCTTCTTTCAACATATTCTGTGTTGTGACTCTGATCCAAATCCATTCCCTCTGTAAGCTGAAATGAATTGGCTTCTTGTCATGACTGAGGCTGTATTAAAGGTTTGCCTGAAGGTTAATACCCCTTATGTTGCCCCAATATTTCAATGGTTTATTGTACTGCAGTAGATGAACAATAGTGCAAAGTAGCTATTTTAAGGCCGACCCGAGGCACATTTTAGTGTAGTAAAACCACTTTATTCGTCTGGTAATATAGTCTTTATAAGTCATAAAACACCTGCTAGATCTGGTAATCCGTAAATGAGGCACAAATAGTAATGAGTTAGCAAAAGCAAGTGGATGCTGTACTGTAGAAATGGCTGGAAATAGTAATGGAGTGCTTCTGATTTAGAGAGACCAGGATTGGTAATACAGAGTAAATTAATGTAGTGGTTGCTAAAATGTGTGTAGTGATTCATGCATTAAAGGAATAGTTCATCCAAAAATACAAAAACAAATTGCTGAAAATATACTCACCCCAAGGCCATCCAAGATGTAGATGAGTTTGTTTCTTCATCAGGTTTGGAGAAATTCACTCACCAGTGGATCCTCTGCAGTGAATGGGTGCCATCAGAGTGAGAGTCCAAACAGCTGATAAAAATATCACAGTAATCCACACAAGTCTAGTTCATCAATTAATGTCTTGCAAAGTGAAAAGCGGTGCATTTTTAATAAATAAATCCATCAAATCCAAAACTATCCACAATATTGCTTTCCCAAGTGAGAAAGTCATCTAGTCTAAATCAGGAGAGAAGCAGTTCTAAACAAATATACTTGTGGATTATTGTGATGTTTTTATCAGCTGTTTGGACTCTCATTCTGACGGCACCCATTCACTGCAGAGGATCCATTGGTGAGGAAGTGATCACGTAACGATACATTTCTCCAAATCTATTAGAAACAATCTCATCTACATCTTGGATGGCCTGCCCTGAGGTTTAGTCAATTTTCAAATTTTCAACTATTTCATAACCTAACCTAAATGTTAGATTTCCCGTCTTATTTACAGGGGAATAATTGTTTTATCTGCTTAGTTTCTGTTTAGAGATGCAAATCTAGGAAAATTATTTACTTAGACTTGTAGAAGTCTCATTGAATAACTTTGGCTAAGTTCAGAAATGGCATACCATAATATTCTTATCTGTACTGCAGTATACATTAAGTATAATGTAAACAGTATTTAAATTTTCTGCATAAAATAGCTGGTTGAACTGCTACATTTGCAAAATATGCAATATACTGCATGGCTATTTGATCAGCCAAATGTTGAAACATTTTTACAGAAAACCATTCATTACTAAGATTATAACACTAGCTGAATTAAACATGCATTAAACAGTGTTAATTATGGAATAATGCCTGCTGTTTCTTTTATTATTTTTAATAATTGGGCACTATGCACTATACTGCACAGTGTTCAGTAAATAATAAGCTTGTATTTCATTTCAACCTGACTCACTTTACCCAAAAGATAACATTGCATCTTTCCAGCAGATGGCAGACTAGTGAAATTAATTTCTGTTGTGATTACACAGACATTGAACCATATCTATATTAATTAACAAATAATTTTTTTAGATATTGGTGTGCTGAGACCAGAAGACTGATGCAGTATTTCTTTTCATTACATTTTTGCGCTAAGAGACTCTTCTGGGGACTTATAAAGAGAGAAATGTGTCTGAGATACAAAACTAATAAATTATATACATATATTTTTAAATGAGATGGTCAGAAAGCTATTTATATCAGTTTACAGATCAAATAATACTTTGTTATTGTGAGCTCAAAATCAGTTAGGAGGCAGATTACTAATTGAACTTTCTGTGATCTTTGGAATGAAAATCACTGCCATTTTTAGTGTTTCTAATGACTGACCAGCTGAGACCTGGATACAATCAGCCTCTTAAACAAAATCTTATGGCAGTGGCTGAAAGAAAATTGAATAGCCCCCAAAATTTGAAAATAAATAGTTATGCTTGAATGAATTAGTGCAGCTTTTTAGCCCACACAGTGTGATTTTAATCACATCATTTTGTTAACATGCAGCTGAAAACTCCCAGTGGCATTTTGCAGCAACTTGGCGGTGTTCTCGCCCCCCTGATTAACATTTAACTCCGATCTGGCGGGACCTTGTTGCTACAATTAATTCTCTGTCATCCCAAACCGAGGTCAGATGCTAACGAGGCCGCAGCCTTCACTGCGTGACACCGCTCTGTGCTGCCATTTAAACCAAGGCACATCCTTATACTGCTCATTTAGTGACTTTAACACATTCATACTGAAATATACCTAAAATAACACAATAGTTTGGTTATTGTACGCAAGCCACTCCGGACATTTCAAACTGTAGTTCCCTTTCATGGGAACTTCGAACTGCGTCCTCTAGGGGTCGCTATGGGGAACGCCTCGTCGTGACCCGTGTCTGAAGCATACATTGAAAAAACACCAACTCGTTGGCCGGCGACAGCCATGACGTCACTACCGGTGCGACTATTAAGTAACCTGAGACGTTTTGACCAGAGTTTGAACCTTGACCTGGAGTGCAACTTTAGTACATACAACCTCCTCAATCCTGCTCCCAAGGCAATAGGGATTGGTTTGGTTTTGAACTTCTATTCTGACTTCATTGTAATAGGCTTATTATGGTTATTAATCTTAATTTATTTCTCTTTTATTTAAACAGGATGCCAGCTAATACTAATGAGATTAATTATAACAAGAATATTTCATCATAGCAGATGTTGGATTTACCATGTTACATCATTATGTGAGATTCCATGTCTATTTATTAATAATATAATATTAATTGATATTAATTTACTAATATTCCATGTTTATGGTCATGTTTATTTATATAGTTGGTTTTTGCAAGAAGTCTTTTATGCTCATCAAGGCTGCATTTATTTGATCAACAATAAGGGTAATATTGTGAAATATTATTACAATTTGAAATAACTGTTTTCAATTTTAATATATTTTAACATTTAATTTATTCCTGTGATGCAAAGCTGAATTTTCAGCAGCCATTACACCAGTCTTTGGTGCTCAAGAAACATTTTATTTTATTATTATCAATATTGAAAACAGTCCTTCTACTTAATACTTTTTAAAGAAACTTTTACACTTTTTTTCAGGATTCTTTGATGAATAGAAAGTTCAAAAGAACAGAAATAGAAATCTTTTGTAACATTATAAATGTCTTTTGTTGTCACTTTTGATTAATTTAATTCATGCTTGCTGAATAAAAGGATTAATTTCTTTCAAAAACCTTAACGTTTTGTCAGTAAGGCACAATGGGCTTTATTTAAGCCTAATGCTTGCAGAAGCCTGATTAATATTAATACCACCTTCCGACAATTCTTTTATTTGTATATAGCTGACAAACCTTGCTAACAGACCTTGAGTGCACTTTTGCAATCCGTGATGAAGGTTTCGCCATGTAATTGAGAGCCATGTATTCAGAAAAACATCACTGTGCTGACTTGGTTCCAGAAGGGTTTAAAGCATTTAATGTGAACTCCCATTTCTGTTTAATCCAGTTTACAATCATATTTAGGGATTTCTTTTACGTTTGTTTCTTAAATTCAGTCTGCCTCCCGTTGTTGGTCCCAGGAGTACTCATAAATGCGCCGAGGGTTTCTTTGCTCTGGGCAAATTGTGAAAATCCAGTAGCTCTGTCTCTGAGTTTGTAAGTATAGCCTCTCACTGCTGACTGAAAAGACCTCACGCTTGCTGCTCCACTCGGGCCTGGAGATGCAGATATGTAGCCGGTGTAATGTGTATTATATGGATTGTAATAGCAAGACCTCTTGTCAAGTCGAGTCAGTTTTATTTATACACAGCTTTTCACAATACATATTGTTCCAAAGCAGCTGTACAGAAAATAAAGCCTTTAAACCAAAGGCGACTATAAGAAGGAAATATACGCAGGATGTGTTCTTATATTCACAAATGGCTAGAAGCAGTGCAAATGAATGAAACATCAATTTAATAAGGATAAATACCCTTAATTCTTTTAAATATAAATATATTGGTCAAATAAATAATTGTAATATTTTCATTTCATTGCATTGCAGTGCAGTGCACTTCTTCACTTCACTTCACTTCACTTCACTTCACTTCACTTCACTTCACTTCACTTCACTTCACTTCACTTCACTTCACTTCACTTCACTTCACTTCACTTCACTTCACTTCACTTCACTTCACTTCACTTCACTTCACTGTGCTAAGTGAGTGAACATCAGAGATCACACAACAGAATTGCTCTCGCTCTCTACCGTCAACTTTCCAGTGATGTCTGTGAGAAAGGTATATTCACTCAACAAGCTCGCGCATCTGCGCCGCCGCGCGCTCAATCCACTCAGCGTGCTTTGCTTATCAGCTCGCGCACATCAGCTATACAGTCAATACTGAATGTTTAACATTATATTCATTGCATACATATACTTCATCGACATCCTTAATCTCTAATAACTCCATTCTGCTGTCTGTTGTTCTGTTGTCGGTGTTTCATTGTCTGAATATGGCACTTAACACATGCTGTGTGGTATCGGTGTTTGGTATCGGGGCATTTTAACGAGTACAAGTACAGGAGCTCAGTATCGGGCCGATACCGATACTCGGTATTGGTGCATCCCTAATTTCATTGCATTGCATTTCATTGCCAAAAGCAGCTGTGTTGAGCTCATCATGTTACATAATGCTAGCCATTCCATGGTAGCTGTTATTTATATAGCTGTTTTTTGTTTGTTTTTTGAAAGAAGTCTCTTATGCTTATCAAGGCTGCTTTTATTTGGTGAAAAATACAACAAAACATTAATATTATGAAATATGATTACAATTCAAAGATGAATTTAAATTATCAATGTGAATTATTCATTTTTATATATAATTTTTCTTTCTCTCTTAATGTTATTTTATTTTGTTTTATTTTATGTAATTTTATTTA